TCGGAGTCAGCCCCGCCGGGTCGCGCGCCGTGCCGGGGAGCCGGAATTGAGCCGGGTGGGGTGGTGACTCCGGAGAACGCAGGATCCCAAGGAGACAGAGAGGACGAGAGCTGGAGGGGGATCCGGAGAGCGGCGGAGGCGCTCCGAGAAGGGTGGAGTAGGACATAGCGGGCACACCTGGAGGGGAGACGGGCGGGGGTGGCCAGGACCTGAGCTGGAGCCTGGGAGCCCCGGAGGCCAGGCAGGTGAGGCGGGAGACCCGGAGGTGGGGGTGAGGTCCGGTTAGTGGGAGAGATCCGGAGGTGTTAAGTTCTGAGCTGGGCTGAGAAGGTAGGCTGGGAGAGGAAACGGGCTCTCAGTGGGAGACGCAGGGTGATCAGCTGGCGGGGGTAAGCTGAGGGAGGACCCAGGGCCAGGTGGAGAGCCGGCAGGGTTGGGGGCTCCCTAGGCGGCAGGCAGGTGGGCTCAAGGGTGAGGCTGGTTTTTTGTTTTGTTTGTTGTTTGTTTTCTGTTTTTGAGACGGAGTCTCGCTCTGTCACCCAGGCTGGAGTGCAGTGGCATGATCTGGGCTCACTGCAACCTCCGCCTCCCGGGTTCAAGTGGTTCTCCTGCCTCAGCCTCCTGAGTAGCTGGGATTACAGGTGCGCACCACCACGCCCAGCTAACTTTTTTATTTTTAGTAAAGATGGGGTTTCACCACGTTGGTCAGGCTAGTCTCGAACTCCTGACGTCGTGATCTGCCCGCCTCAGCCTCCCAAAGTACTGGGATTACAGGCATGAGCCACCGCGCCCGGCCTGAGGCTGATATTAAGAAGTGAAGTGGGATGCAGGTGGAGGTGAGGAAGAGTCTGGTGGGGAGTTATCTCAGAAGTGAGGCCAGCACAGGCTGAGCGCAGCCCAAGGGCGAGAGGGTGCCCACGGAGAGGACGCTGCAGTGAGGCCCTAGGCCACGACCCAGGGGTGCCTCTGATGGGGGAAGCCCCTCCCTGGGGGTCACCAGAGCCATGCTGTCCCGCAAGGGCATCATCCCTGAGGAGTACGTGCTGACACGCCTGGCGGAGGACCCTGCCGAGCCCAGGTACCGCGCCCGCGAGCGTAGGGCCCGCTTTGTGTCCAAGAAAGGCAACTGCAACGTGGCCCACAAGAACATCCGGGAGCAGGGCCGTTTCCTGCAGGACGTGTTCACCACACTGGTGGACCTCAAGTGGCCACACACACTGCTCATCTTCACCATGTCCTTCCTGTGCAGCTGGCTGCTCTTCGCCATGGTGTGGTGGCTCATCGCCTTCGCCCACGGCGACCTGGCCCCCAACGAGGGCACTGCTGAGCCCTGTGTCACCAGCATCCACTCCTTTTCATCTGCCTTCCTTTTCTCCATTGAGGTCCAAGTGACTATTGGCTTTGGCGGGCGCATGGTGACTGAGGAGTGCCCACTGGCCATCCTGATCCTCATCGTGCAGAACATCGTGGGGCTCATGATCAACGCCATCATGCTTGGCTGCATCTTCATGAAGACTGCCCAGGCCCACCGCAGGGCCGAGACCCTCATCTTCAGCAAGCACGCGGTGATCGCCCTGCGCCACGGCCGCCTCTGCTTCATGCTGCGTGTGGGCGACCTCCGCAAGAGCATGATCATCAGCGCCACCATCCACATGCAGGTGGTGCGCAAGACCACCAGCCCCGAGGGCGAGGTGGTGCCCCTCCACCAGGTGGACATCCCCATGGAGAACGGTGTGGGTGGCAACAGCATCTTCCTGGTGGCCCCGCTGATCATCTACCACGTCATCGATGCCAACAGCCCACTCTATGACCTGGCACCCAGCGACCTGCACCACCACCAGGACCTCGAGATCATCGTCATCCTGGAAGGCGTGGTGGAAACCACGGGCATCACCACCCAGGCCCGCACCTCCTACCTGGCCGATGAGATCCTGTGGGGCCAGCGCTTTGTCCCCATTGTAGCTGAGGAGGACGGACGTTACTCTGTGGACTACTCCAAGTTTGGCAACACCATCAAAGTGCCCACTCCACTCTGCACGGCCCGCCAGCTTGATGAGGACCACAGCCTACTGGAAGCTCTGACCCTCGCCTCAGCCCGCGGGCCCTTGCGCAAGCGTAGCGTGGCCATGGCCAAGGCCAAGCCCAAGTTCAGCATCTCTCCGGATTCTCTGTCCTGAGCCATGGTCTCTCCGCTCCCCCCACACGCGTGCGTACACACAGACCGTGTGGTATGGTATGTAGCCCAGCCAGGGCCTGGTGTGAGGCTGGGCCAGCCTCAGCTCAGCCTCCCCCTGCTGCTCATCCAGGGTGTTACAAGGCACTTGTCACTATGCTATTTCTGGCCTCAGCAGGAACCTGTACTGGGTTATTTTTGTCCTTGCTCCTCCCAACCCAATTCAGGATTGCCTCACCCCTCTCCCCTGCCCAAGGCTGCAGAGGCTGTGGGAGGTGCTGGGCCCTAAAGCTGTGTGTCCAGCCAGTCCTAGCTCCCCACGATTGACCAGCCACACACTGGGCAGGTGGCTAGGGAAGAACAATCCCCTGAGGGCTGCTGCTTTGCTTCTTTGGCTTCAAGAAATGCCTGTGGTCAGGCCCCAGCTCTCCTTGGTCCCTGAAAAAGCACCCGGCTAAGGGTTGGGCCTGGCCAGCAGTTGATGAGAGTGTGTTCCCACTGGAGGATTGGTGCTGTGAAGCCTACACCGACAGGGACAGCCTGGGGCTGACGGGGCTCCCCTCCGAGGGCCAGTTTCAGGGCTGGAAGGGGAGGAAGCATGGGAAGGTGACCTGAGGAGGCTTGGTTTTGCAGAGCCCCGCTCAGGCACAGGGAGGAGGAGATGCCAGTGCTCCTGCCTTTTGCCACATCGGCCTCCTGCAATGAGGGCTCTGTGGGCTGGGGCTACTGCCCCTGCCTACTTCCCACCTGTCCCCAGAGGCTGAGGAGAGGGTGTCCTGTGCCCACCACACATGATTAGGCCTCAGGCCCAACTCTGGTCCTGGCTGTACGACAGTGGCTGCCACTCACTTTGTCCACAGGGTGGCTTGGGGTTGGGTGTCTTTGGGTTGCTGGAAAAGGTGTGGGAAGGTTCAGGATGGTGGGAGGGAGTGAGGTCCCTGAGGTGAAGAGGCCCTTGGTCCTAACGGGTTTGACCCGCGCCTGGACCCTTGGAGCAGTGTTGTGTGAACTTGCTTAGGACTCTGCCTTCTCCGTTGTCAATAAAGCCTCCCCCTCATGACCTAAACTCTGGGCTTTTCTTGCTGGGGAGCAGCAAGCATGCTGGTGGGAAGGGAGGCAGGGACTGGCAGCTGCCACCCCCTTCAAGAGGCGCCACAGACCCTAGCACGGAGGCCAGGGGAGGGATGGAAGGCTGGCACCTCTTCCCCCAGCTCAGGGGGACTTTCCCCCTCCTGCCTCAGGTGGCCCAGCCCTGTCAGCCTGTCTGGCCAACTCAGCCTTTGGGCACTCACTAGGCTCTGCAGCCCTGGACTCTGTCTCTACTCCCAGGGACCTGCTGGAAGGGTGGAGTGCCCAGGGAGAGGGGTAGAGGTGTCATAGGCATTAGTGTAGTAATTGGAGCCCTCTCGAGACAACTGCCTGGGTTTGAATTCTGGCTCTAGCTGTATGACTTTTGTCAAGTAACAACCTCTCTGTGTCTCAGTTGCCTCATCTATAACATGGATGCTAATAGTACCTACCTCATAGAATTGTTTTGGGAGTAAACGAAAAACATGTAAAATGCTGAAGTGCCTGGTCTACAGTAAGTGCTCAATAAATGTTAACTATTGTGATTGCTGCTGAATCAGCTACATGATGAGAAAACTGGCCAAACAAGTGTTAAAGAGAGACGGTGCTTTTATTTTGCCCTTGGTCATGTTTATTTGCCGGGTCTTTCTTTCCACACCATGCCCCCTTCCCAGCTGAGACTATGATTTTAGGGGCTGTGGCAATGCCTGTGACCTGGTCTCCTTGTCTCCATCTCACCCACTGCAATCCATCTGCCACGCAGCCTCCAGGGTGGTCTTAGAAGGGTGGGTCACCCCCCACCCCCACCATGAAATACCTTCGGTAGTCCCCATCACCTCTGGGTCAAGGCTAGCTTCTTAGCCAGCCAATTCAGGCTGTGACTGCCTCTCCGGCTTTATGGCCCACTGTTTTCTTGCCAGGAGTCTGCACTTGCCCACCCACTTCCCTGGGTACCTCGCTGTCCTATCCCTCCTGGCACATAATGTTGAGCTTCCTACCTCCCAGACCTCGCTTATGTTATTCCCTTGGCCTGGACTGCCCAGGCCTCATCTCTGTCTGTTGAAATCCATAAAAATCCAGGCTGAATGATGCCTCCTCGAAACCTTCCCTGATTTCTCTGGAAAGGAAGGTCCCTTCCCTCCCCTATGCTATGGGCATTCTCCTTTTGCCTACGTTTAGGGGTCTCTCTCCCCATCCCCAAGTCCATGGCTTCCTGAGGTCAGGGACTGGGACTCAGCACTGTGGCTGGCTTACACGGAGTAGGTGCTACATGAATGAAAAATGAATGAATGAATAACGGATGGATGTGTACAGGACAAAGTCAGGGTTATTGCTACAGTGTGAGGCCTGCAGACAGGGCATCAGTGAGGGTCTGTCCCAGGCAGCTCCAGAGGCAGGGCCAAGGGGCCAGGAAGTTGTCGCTGCTGGTCTGAGCTCTAAGCTGCCCCCTCCCGGCACCCATGCAGTCCCCAGCGCTGATTCCCTTCCTTGCAGAGCTGACACATTTCTGGTTTAGAGGGTAAAGGGGTGAAAGCTACTCAGAGTCAGCCTCAGCCTAGCATTCTAGGAGGCTGGCTCTTGCGACTCAGCTTAGCTGCCCTTAAGGCCAAGGAGAAGGGCCAGACTCACTAATAAGGACCTGCTGGCAGCACCATCCTTGGAGCCCCATCCAGAGTAACCTTCCTCCACCCGCCAGGGACCTTAAGCTGCTGTTGAGTGTGAAGCCCACAGAACTGAGGGCTTAGCGCCACCTGCTGGCCACAAAGAAGACTTACTTCAGCAGAGAAAATCAGGGCCACTGGTCCTGGCTTTTCCACCAAACCTGAGGGAGACCCCCAGCCTTAAGGCATAACCCAGGGCGGGGCTGGAAAGCTCCAGGCATAGAGAGGCAGTTCGATCAAGCCTCCCTCCTCCGCGAAGGTGTTCTTGCCCACTGTTGGTGCTACCTCCATCTGGGGGTACCCTTTCTCTATGGCACTAGCCTCAACTGGATCAAGAAGTTCACCTGAGTGCTACTCAGCCCAGCAGGAACTTCTGTGATAATTTTGTTTGTGATATTCAGCCTCCAGGACTGCATTCATTAGTCATCACATGACAGCAGAGGAAGCAGTCCAGCCCGTCCACACGCTATGTGCAGAGCTGGCTCGACTACAGGGCCCCTGAAAAGGAGAAGGGAAGTACCGCGTGTCACTGTGGCCCAGCAGGACTATGAGAGAAGCACCATTCTCCTTTGAGTTTGTAGATGAGGAAACAGGATCAGAAAGGGTGGTGTCTTCAACCATTCAGGCTTCTATAACAAAATACCATAGACTGGGTGGCTTATAAACAATAGACGTTTATTACTCACAGTCTGGAAGCTGGGAAGTCCAAGATCAAGGTGCCCGTGGATTCAGTGTCTGCTGAAGACCTGCTTCTTAAATGGCTGTCTTTCCCCTGTAACCTTACATGGTGGAAGGTGTGAGGGAGCTCTCTGGGGCCTTGTTACACAAGGGCACCAATCCCATTCACGAGGGCTCCACCCTCATCACCTAATCACCTCCCAAAGGCCCCACTTCCAAATACCATCACCTTGGGCATTAGGATTTAACATGTGCATTTTAGGGGGACACAGACATTTAGCCTATAGCAGGAGGTAATTTGCCAAGATCTCACAGCTAGTAGGAGACAGGTCCAAGATTTCAGTCAAAGTCTGTCTAATGCCACAGCCCTGCTCTTCCCTCTCCCTCTTCCCCACAGCACACAGTCCCAGTGACCCAAGCTCCAACTTTTAGTAGGGCTGCACCTTGTTGTGTCACATTCACCACAGGGAGAAAGCTGTCTCCAGACCAAGGGCAAGAGGGAAGGTGGAACTCAGCAAGCCCCTGGGCCTACCTGAGATCCCAGATTGGAAACTGGCAGCAGGCTTGGCTGTTCTGTGACAGCCTAGATTATGTCCAAAACACCTATGGAGTCAGAACAACCTCATTGGCACTTTTTCTGGCCCACGTGCATGGTGAGCCCTCCATCTTCCTCCTCCTTACAGGAAGACTGAGGTCTTTGCCTTCCAGGCTCTTCTCCCAGCCAGTCAATTGGGCACATCTGCTACCCATCTGTCCCCAACTCATATCAATGGTGTAAGATGTGTCCTGGGCCTCAGTCCTGAGCTTCAGAGGGAAGGCAAGCCAGGCCACCCTCTTCCTGTGTGCTACTCTAGAAAAACTAGCCCACTCGCACACTAGAACCTGCCCAGGCCTAACACCTGTGGATTCGGCATCTCCAGCCAATGTCACCATGAGACCCACCCAAGCCCCACTAATGTGCACCTCTGGCCCTTCTGCTGGAGAGGACTCACGCAGCTTCTCCAGGGCCCACGCTCTCTCCACGGGCAGGAGGCTCTGTCCATCTGAGCTCCTTCCCCACATCTTTTTCTAGGGAGAACTTTCCCAGGGAGCTTGCATTCACAGGAGGAGAGCCACCCTGACACTCCACAGGTCTCTGGGCTCCCCAGGGCCTCTGAGGTCTCCCCAGGCCCAGATAACAGACACTGTGTTGTACCAAGTGTCCAGATAACTTTAGAAAGAAGACATTAATTCCATTCATCAAAGTCATGTTGACCTCAGGTCCAAAGAACAACAGATTGATTTCAGCTTGAAAGAAGCTGGGGAAAGGAAGAACAGTGGGGTTAGTCGGAGCTGGGCCACAAGTACCTTTTGTTGTGCTGGATTCTGGGTTATTGGCAGCCCCCCTGCCAGATCTATCCACCTAGGGCACTGACTCTTTATGGGAGGGGAAGCAGGTGCTACCCACACCCTATTCTAGTTCCACTCTGGGCAGGTCCAACTCTGGAGTGATGTGAAGAGCAGGCTGCCTGGACTGGCCAACCTGGGTCCAGGAGTTTGAACTTCTCCCTTTCCCCTGACCTCAGTTCCTGGCAGGCACCAAGGCCAATGAGTGGAACGAGTAATACAAAGTGCCTGTGCAACTCCACAGCTTATTACCTTCAGTGGGGGAAGCAACAATGTTCGGGTATGCAGCACAGGTTGGCACTACCTAGAAGCTGTCTATAGCTTATAGGATCCAGTTAACCCTTTTGTTAGTCACACACCTCCCCTTCATGAAATACTGTTCCCTGCAGCACAAGTATGTCCCAACCTCCTCCTCCCCAGATCATCAGCCCCCAACTGAAGCAAACCAGACTTTGGGTAGTCTTTCCTCTGTTTACTCTTGACTTCATTTGATCAATTCCAGTTTTTTTCATAATGCCATTATTATTGCGAGAAGGGGAGTAACTTCAAGGTAATCCAGAGAGAAGCAAATGCAACGCAGTTCTGACTGCGATGCAGATTCCTTTTTGTTAAATGTCGACTGTCTCCTTGGTTTCCCATTCACCTGGGAAGTAGAAGAATAAAAATCATTCCATAGTTCCATCCAAGGAGGGCGGCTCCAACAGTGTGCTCTTGAGCAGGCTGTCTGGGTCATCAGGAAAAGTCACTCCAGTTACTCACGTATTCTCTGAGAAACCTTGTCATCTCTGCCATCTGTCTCTGTGTAGGAACTGCCAAAGTCCTTCAGTTCCCCATCTCAAATAAGTGGTGAATGGGTTACTTCCCTCATTCGAATCCTTCAGTCCCTCCTTGTGTCAGTTTGGATCTTCCAGGAAGCAGCTTTCAAGATGGAGTCAGAAGTACAAGTGAGTACTTAGGGGTGGTTCCATGAAAGATAAAGGAGAGAGACTGTAGCGGGGAAAGCCTCAGACCACAGTGCAGGCTGACTGTGAAGGGAGAGGCAGGGGGAATGAGGGAGGACTAAGATGAGCCTCAGGCTTCAGTACAGTAAGTCCTCATTTAATGGAGTTGATAGGATCTAGGAAACTATGACTTTAAATAAAATAATGTAGAACAAAACCAATTTTCCCATAAGCTATAAGAAAGAATTAAGTTCACAGCGTATTTCTGGTCATAAAATACATCAACATTCTAAATAAGGACCAAACACTTCAATATTTAACACTGAAATAAATGTTTACATATACATTTAAGAATGATTACTAGGCCAGGCACGGTGGCTCATGCCTGTAATCCTCGCACTTTGGGAGCCCAAGGCAGGAGGATAGCTTGAGCTCACGAGTTCGAGACCAGCCTAGACAACATGGCAAGACCTTATCTCTACAAAAACACCAAAAAAATTAGCCAGGCATGGTGACCTGCGCCTGTAGTCTCACCTACTCAGGAAACTGAGGTGGGAGTATTGCTTGAGCCCAGGAAGTAGAGGTTACAGTAGGCCAAGATTGTGCCACTGCACTCTGGCCTGGGTGACAGAGTGTGAGACTTTGTCTTGAAAAAAAAACATTACTAAAAACAAATAATTATTCACCCAATGATTCCAGTTCAGAGTTGTGGGTGGCCAGAGCCTATCCCAGTGGCTCAGAGCACTAAGTGGGCATCAACCCTGGAGAGGATGGCATCCGGCTGTAAGGCATGCTCACACCCACACCCTCACTCAGACTGGCACCATTTAGACACCCCAATTTACTGAAAGTGCTCATCTCTGGGATCTGAGAGGAAACCAGAGTACCTGATGAAAACCCATGCAGAACATGCAAACTCCACAGAGCCAGTGGCTCAGGTTGGGAATTGATTTTTTTTCATCAATGTGATAACAAAATGACATCAAACAAAATGATGTTATTCTAGCACCTAATACACAACTCTGAGGAAGTCGTGGCCATCTCAGATCCCCGAGATCAGCAGCTGGAGATCTCGGGATGTAGTTCAGTATTCCAGCATCAGCTCCCAACACGGAGCTCCTGCCTTGCTCAGTCAATGGCAGGAGCAGTGCGGGGAGAGCAGGGCACCAGCTGGAATACTGAAGCAGATCCCTGAGATCTGCAGCTGGAGCCCGTCAGCTGACTGCACTCCTCACACAGGCTCTCTCTCGAAGGGGGCCTCAGAGGCACATCTCTGTGGCTACCACACTCCTTTTGGTCAAAGCTCAGGTTCCTGAGGAGTTGTAGCACTTAGCTTATGCTGTGTTAACAAAGCCAGTATAAAACAGTGGCTTTAAAAAACATTTTAAATATTAATGTATTAATAAAAATAAATATTTAAAATGTTTTACATATTAAAAGTATTTTCCAAGTATTTGAGAGTTGGCTCTGCCAGCTCTGCTGATCTCAGATTTGCTCACATGGAGTCAGGTGGCCGTCATCTAATCTAGCCTGGCCTCCACTGGAGCAACAAGGATGTGGGAGCCAGCATCTCTCATCCTCCAGCAGGCTAGTCTGGACCTGTCCTTCTCTCAGCACCATTAGAAGCACACAAGGAAGCAAATGAAGACACACAAGGCCTCTTGGGGCTTACACTGGGAACTGGCACGCCTTCACTGCTGTCTCCTTATGTTGGCTGAAAGACGTCACATGGTTGGAGACACTGCAAAGTTACACAGCAATGGACATGAATGCAGGGAAGGGTGAAGGACTGGAGTCATCTTTTCAAACAACTACAGAATCCAGCTGATCATAAAGGATTTGTTTTCTTTTTCCGTAAGTATCATTGCTGATGTTGCCTAACTAGTTTCTTCCTTCCTCCTCTCTCAATGGCACCTGAATATCAGAGTTAGAGAAAGGCAAGAAATATGACAACAGTCACAAATATCATAAGAAACATTTGAAAACCACTTTTTATCCAGTTTTCTCATTGTCTTAGATCCAACAGGAAGAAGTCCTGTGAATCTAAATGGCCAACTTTAGATAAAGAGCCATTTTTCTTAATTGATTATTCCACTTCTCCTAAAGTATTTATAATGAGATGTACTAGCTGTTGCGCAGATTTTGCCTTGACAGGCCCATAAATAATTGAGGGCCCTTTTATTATCTAAAACTATTTTAACCAACACATTTTCACAGGTCTCTTGGGCCTCTAAAGCTTGAGCTGTTTTATTTACTATTTGGGCCATAGTCAGGGATAAAAATGTTTAGAAACATGTTTTAGTTTAGAAATACCTAGTGAGGGTTAGAAATTCTTAGTCAAACTAGTGAAATCTGATGGTAAGTTATTGATCAGATAAAGTATGAGGAATTCCCCTCTCTGAGCCATAGTTTCTAAATGTGTGAGAAAAACAAGCAGCCCACACATAGTTCAGGGCCTGGTCTGAACACTCAAGTCTGGTTCATTCACAGAGATATAATACTTGCTTAGTAACTTGGAGAAACAGAGGGAGGCTTTACAACACATCACCCCAGAGTCACAAACCACCATACAAAGGTCAGATGGCATGTGACAGCTAGGTCCTCTGTGAAAGGAAACTGGATTGGAACAGAGCCAACATTCCCAACACCTGATGGTGAACAGGGACTGACAAAGTCCTCTCCAGCAGGCCTGTCCCTTGAGTCTCGTAAGGTTGGCAGCAGCCGCCCTAAAAGCTTTTTCCTAGCCCAAGACACAGGGCTGAACTTTGCTTTGGAGCCCCTTACCTTTTTCCAACGAATCCAAACAATTAAAAAAATCAAAAAAATTAAAATCAATCCAACAGCAATTAATGGAATAAGCCACCTATAAGTGGAAGAGACATCTGTCTTCTCAGATTCTGCAGAGAGAGAAGGAAAACATTAACAGGAAACCTATAGGCAAGGGCCAGAGAAACCACACAACTGCTGCTGGGATCTGTGTGGTTGTGTCATCCTCCTTGTCAGAGATTTAACCACCAGCCCTCTACCACATGTCTCAGCGTCTCCATTCCTATCACATATACCTCCACACACTGAACAGTGTATGTAGCGCTTGCCAAAAATATGGAAGATGAACACCACATACCACATAAGTGTGCCACCCTCATCTTCAAACCTTCTGTAATAGGACACCATCTTCTACTCCTATGTGCATACCACACAGACAACACCTCATACCATACATGCAAGGTATATTTCCATTTCATACTCCCAGTGGACACACATACCCTCCCTGCAGCCCTGCACACACCACCCATACACACTCCTAGTCCTTACTTCCAAGAATAATTCCTCTCTCCCCAGGACCATCCTGGGCCCCATCTGGCATAGTCTGACCACATTCCTCAGTGCCCCCAGTCACTCCCTGCCTTCTTTACTCCTCTCAGACCCAGGGAGATGCATTTTACCAGCAGAGCTACCCCTACCCAAGACCAGAGCTATGACCAGGGCATATGAGCTCAAAAAGCCTCACCCCACCAGCAGGAGTGGGTCTGCCGTGAACTGTGTTTTAAGGATCCAGTGTGCCTGGGGAAGGCACTGAGCATTTGCAGAACCACTCTACTGTAGCCTCCCCATCTTGGGACACAGCCCATAAAACAAGACTACTGGCCAGGCGCGGTGGCTCATGCCTGTAATCTCAGCACTTTGGGAGGCCAAGGCAGGCGGATTACCTGAGGTCAGGAGTTCGAGACAAGCCTGACCAACATGGAGAAACCCCATCTCTACTAAAAATAGAAAATCAACTGTGCGTGGTGGTGCATGCCTGTAGACCCAGCTACTCAGGAGGCTGAGGCAGGAGAATCGCTTGAACATGGGAGGCAGAGGTTGTGGTGAGCTGAGATCACGCCATTGAACTCCAGCCTGGGCAACAAAAGCAAAACTCCATCTCAAAAAAAAAAAAAAAAAAAAAAAAAAAAAAAAAAAGACAAGACTACTGATTCAGCCTCCACCAGCCTACCAGCCAACAGTTTACAGTGAACCTAGAGCCTGACTAGAAGGGCTGCTAGCAGGACTGGTCCCTGGCCCCTGATGGCCCCTTATCCTCAGGGAACATGGGTAGGATACTGTCCCCATTCCCCTAGCAGCTGGCAGGTTCCCTATTTCAAACCATATGGACCATCCAAAACCCTGAAGCTGCCATGAGCTGACAAGTCGCCCTGCTCCACCTGATGACTATGGTCACCACTCTAGACCATCTTCTGCCCAGGTGTAGGGACCTAAGCTGGACTGCTGACTCTGGGGCTGAGCTAGGCCAGACCCCAGCTTGGTCCTTCCAGTCCAAGCTTTCTCTCCTTCCCCTTCAGTCCACAGCTAAGACCCCGGGCTGTGTGGGAATAAGTCTTATGTTACAGTCCCTCAAGGCAGGGAAGGAAGAAATGTCCAGAAAGACCCTTACCAGAAAGACTCTGCCGAGGAGCAGTCAGGTTAAAGTTGATGCTCACAGGAGTATGCAAGGACTCATGCTGTATCACACATTGGTAGACAGTCCCAGGGTCTTCCTGAGAGGAGTTCAGCTTCAAGCAGCTAGTGATGTTAAATGTACCATCCATATTCTTGATGGTGGGACCAGTGATGATGTTCTCAGAAATCACTACGTGATGGGGAGACTTCTGGGTCCTCTTCTCCCATGTTATATTAATATCCTTTGGATAGAACCCACTTGACTCACACATATATTTGCCTTCATTCTCTTTCACCACCGCTTGATCCTGAAACAATCTGCTGGTTGGGGAAGCTGCCAGGGAAAAAAAAGTCATACAGAGTTGGGCCCAGCAGCCTTTTATCGCTGCCACACCTTAAGCTAACTGGCTTCTACCATACCTTCACACCTGTGCATCACTGCTCCTGTAGCCAGATAAGACAAAAAACACAGGATGCCTACTCTTTTTAAAAGATGGGGACTCTGAGGCATAGATAATGCTGCAACCATGTCCAGCAATGAGCTGAAGATTTACAATATCAGACTGGGCACTCCTTAAGGGTAGGGAGGGATTAGCTTATTATCAGCCTGACATCTGACCCATGGCAAGCCTTCAGGACACGCGAGTGACTGAATGCAAGTCAGCTTGGGCTAAATATTCTGGGTATATCGGTGCCAGTGCCAACCGAGTGTTGACATGCTGTGACCCCAACTCTCATAGCAATTTTGTAAAGCAGAGTTTTCTTAAGCTATGTTGTGCCACAGACACCTTTCATAATCTGAGGAAAGCCTTGGAACACTGTTGTGGTAGAGACTGCTAATTGCTCTTCAATTTCTATTCTATGCACTTTTAGCTGGCCATGACATATCCAGATTAAAGCTGTATCACCCAACCTCCACTGCAGGTATGTTTGGCCATGCAAACTCAAGGTCTAGTAGGTCTGGAATTAAGCAAAAGTGGCAAAAGCAACTTTTAGAAAGTATCCTTAAATTAAAAGGATGTCTTAAAAGACTGTCTCTTTCTCTCTGTCTGTCTCCTTCATATTTCCTGCAGGATGTCTGGAATACTATGTGATGACTGGAGATGGATAGGCCATTTCCAAACACAAGGTGGATGATACATACTGAAGATGGCAGAGTGACAAGATAAAAGGATCATGGGTCCCAGATGATCACAGAGCTATCTGCCATATCTGCCGTTGGCTGGCTACATCAGTTCTGAAAGAAAAATAAACTGCCATTTCCAAAACCACTATTGACTTCCAGTTTTCCCTCTCACATGAGAGGTCATCGCTCCCACCCTATAATAAGAACAAAAGCTGAACACATTGAAAATCAACCACTTTTCTTAGATTCTTCGGAGAATTGAAGTGACAGGGCAAACTGCGACTCAGAAAGCTGGAGAAAGAAGGAGATTAAGAAAATTACAGCTAAGATAAAATTGCCTCATGCAGAAGCTGCTGGAGTCATAAACTGGTAGAAGTACTTAAGCAGTAACTCCGACAAACTAGTAAAGGATGAGTGTGGACTAGTTTGAGAATAAAAACCTCCTCAGGTTCTGGTCTTAGGGATGCTACCATATTTTCATGGGTTTTCATCCTCAGGACCCAGTCTTGGGGATGCTACCACACTGTCATGAGTTTTACCTCCAGGAACCCCAACAGATTCTCACAGTAAAGAGCCAAGAAAAATCTCCTCTTCTTTCTGGGGGACGGAAAGAAGTAATCATTTTAAAATACACCCAGATTATTCCCTCCATCTCAAGGGAAGATGTCAGAGCCTTATCTGACCTGGGAGACGAAAATTAGGCAACTCCAGCTGTCTACAGCCTTTCTGTATCACTTAAGAAGAGAGAGAAAGAAAAGGCTAAGAAACACTTCTGAAGGTCACAGTCCAGGGGCTCAGGCCACTAAAAGAATAAGATTAATTATAAAAGTATAAACAGATTCTCCTTCAACACTTTACTACCACATCAACAGGGATCCAGTATAGTAACAGAAAATTACAAGTGAGAGAGCTACAAGGCACAGACCCTATTTAAGGAGTTCATAAGGAAACTCAAAGACAATAGGAAAGGAGAGAAAAAAGCACTAGAGAAACTGAAATCTCTGGCACCTATAGCTATAATAAGCATTAAACGCAACCCAGTTCCTAGCCAAATTAACATAAAGCTTCATAATAAAAGCCTGATACACAATATCTCTCTTTCAACTGAAAAATTACAAGACATGCTAAAAAGTACATAAAAACCAAGTAAACATCAGACCCAGACTCAGGTATGACACAGATTTTAGAATTATCATATAGGGACTTTTAAAAAACTATAATTAAAATGTTAACAGCACTAACAGAAAGAGCAGATAACATGCACAAACAGATGGGTAATACAAGCAGAGTGATGGAGATGCTAAGAAAGAACCAAAAGTGAATGCTAGAACTCAACATATCATTAAAGAAATGAAGAATGCCTTGAGTGGGTTCATCAGTAGACTTGAAACTGACAAGGAGGCTGGGCACAGTGGCTCACACCTATAATCTCAGCACTTTGGGAGGCTGAGGTGGGTGGATCACCTGAGGTCAGGAGTTCGAGACCAGCCTGACCAACATGGAGAAACCCCATTTCTAATAAAAATACAAAATTAGCCAGGCATGGTGGCGCATGCCTGTAATCCCAGCTACTTGGGAGGCTGAGGCAGGAGAATCACTTGAAACTGGGAGGCGGAGGTTGCAGTGAGCCGAGATCGCACCACTGCACTCCAGACTGGGCAACAAGAGCAAAACTCCATCTCAAAAAAAAAAAAAAAAAAAGAAAAGAAAGAAAGAAAGAAACTGATAAGGAAAGAATCAGTGAGCTTGAAGATGTTAATAGAAACTTCCCAAACTCAGAACGGTGTGGTGGCTCACGCCTATAATCCCAGCACTTTGGGAGGCCAAAGTGGGCAGATTGCTTGAGGTCAGCAGTTGGCGACCACCCTGGCCAACATGGCAAAACCCCGTCTCTACTTAAAAAACAAAAGTTAGCCAGGCATGGTTGTGCACACTTGTAGTCCCAGCTACTCAGGAGGCTGAGGCGCAAGAATCGCTTGAACCTGGGAAGCAGAGGTTGCAGTGAGCTGAGATCCTGCCACTGCACTCCAGCCTGGGAGACAGAGTGAGACCCTGTCACAAACAAAAATTTTAAAAAAAGAAACTTCCCAAACTGAAATACAAGGAGAAAAAAGAATTTTTAAAAAACAGAATATCCAAGAACTGTGGGATACTACAAAAGGTGTAACAGATATATAATGGGAATACAAGAAGAAGAAAAGAGAAAGGAGCAGAAGAAATACTTTGAAGAAATAATGGCTGAGAATTTTCCAAAATTAATGATAGACACCAAACTACAGACCCAGGAAGCTTAGAGAATACCAGGCAGGATAAATATCCAAATATGCCTATCCACATCTAGCCATATCATATTTCAACTTTAGAAAGACAAAGATGGCCAAGTATGGCAGCTCACTCCCATAATCCCAGCACTTTCAGAGGCCAAGGCAGGTGGATCACTTGAGCTCAGAAGTTCGAGGCCAGCCTGGGCAACACGGCGAAATGCCATCTCTACAAAAAATACAAAAATTAGCCATGCTTGGTGGCACCCACGTGTGGCCCCAGCTACTTGGGAGGCTGAGGTGGGAGGATCACTTGAGCTTCAGCCCAGTAGGTCAAGGCTGCAATGAGCCGTGATCACACCATTGCACTCCAACCTGGGAAACAGAGTGGGACCCCATCTTGAAAGACGAAAGAAAAGAAAAAGGAAAAGAAAGGAAAGAGAGAGAGAGAGAGAAAGGAATGGAAGAAGGGAGGGAGAGAGGCAGGGAGGGAGG